TGTGTGTGTGTGTGTCATATATACACATGCATAGATAGATAGATAGATAGATAGATAGATAGATAGATAGATAGATAGATAGATAGATAGATAGCTGTTTGTGTGTGTTCCAGCATAACTCTGGAACGCCTCAAGCAATTTCAAGCAAACTTGGTACACAGATTACTTACCCTCTGGAAACAAATACTGTGGGGGTAAGACACTCCTTGCGGGGGTTTCTGTTAAGATACAGCCTGTTGTGCCTTAAAATGGCTTCTACTGTACAGCACTGGAGTTGCTATGGTAATGGCTTCACAGTAGTCCCCAAGGGGGCTCCCTCTGGTAAGGGGGAAAATCCAGTGGTGGTGCAGCCCCTTATGTGGTACCGATAGAAGAGAATATTTGTAGCTTAAGGTTGAACTGTGAGGTTTTTGGTGCTCTCTGATGGTGGGTTATTTTTGTAGACAATTCATGACCTAACTAGGGAACCTCATCAGGGCTTGAAGAGAATGGGGTTTGTGGAGAGGAAGGAGCATCAAGTACCCTACAATTCTGAGTTTTTTTTATCAAACGCTATCAAATGCTTTTTTGGGGTGGAGATTGATGGTGGGTGAAATAACAAAGCTGCTGTAGAGCGTTTTATCCACAGTGGGAAACAAACAACAGCCTGTGCTTCACAGGTACCCCAGCACATTTAGCTAAGACGGGACCCCCAGTTTCCGAACGGGACCAAGAACGGGACCGTGAAAAAGAACGCAAGAAATCGGTTGTGACCAGCACAGCCACGGTGGAACATGCGCCCATCTGGAGGCCGGGTGAGTTGAGGTTCACCACCTCAAATGGGAAAGAGTGGGGGCTTAGCACTGACTCATTTTGCCTCCATTCCATCTTTTATGACAGGCACCGAGCACAGCAGCGGCCGTACCCCCGCACACGCTCACAAGCACTCCCCGGTTTCCCCTCGCGCCCAGGAAAATGTTCAGCAACGTCCCAGTGTGCTGCATAACACCAACATGAAGATAATCTCTCCAGAAGGTCTCACTCCCTCCGTTTTGCGGTAGGTCAAATTCCAGAAAAGCAGAAGCGAGTTGTTCGCGACATATATCTAGGAACTTGCACAGCGCAGATTCTGTGCGCTGGTTGCTTGTCTGTTATTATCATTTCGTGGTTTGTGACACCGGCTTTGTCTAGCGGGAGAAATCAGGAAACTCAGGCAGTTCAAATGAATGCAAGTAGTCCTTGCCTTGCGACCAGAATTGAATCAAAAATGTCTGTTGCTGAGTGAGGCATTTTTAAAGTGAGTTTTGCCCCATTTTACAACCTTCCTTGGCATGGTTGTTAAGTGAATCTCCGCCAGTGTTAAGTTAGTAACACTGTTGTGAATTGAATCTGGCATTCCCATTGATCTTAGCTTGTCAGAAGGTGGCCAAAGGGGATCACGTGACCCCGGGACATGGCAACCGTCATAAATATGAGTCAGTTGCCAAGCATCTGAATTTTGATCATGTGACCATGGGGATGCTGCAACGGTCATAAGTGTTAAAAATGGTCATAAATCAGTTTTTTCAGTGCCATTGTAACTCTGAAAAGTCACTAAATGAACTGTTGTAGGTCGGGGACTACCTATATAAAGGTTGATTGCAAGGTTAAGTTCTCTACAAGAATCTGATCTACTAACAGTAAAAGCAAATTGGCAATATAGAAGAGTTAACTCAAATCAAATGTGCTGGACTGAGATCTCTTGTAGGCTTGAGACTGATGACACATTTGACCCCTCCCTCGGCCAGGTGTTTGGCAAGTTTGCCCACCTGGCGAGTCCTACCCAAGGACCTGTGACAGGCAAATGTTTTGTTTGATGGGCTTCAAGGGATCCTTGCAGGTGGTCAGCTGTTCCAGGTGAAGCTGTCATTTGCAATTGACTGGAGGTTCTTTGATAGCTACAAACCTTTCCTTTCCTGCAATGATTCAGACAATTGGAGGGAAGGTGTCTTACAGGCAAAATGTTACATGCCAATTCTGGATGTTAGGGACGGGAATTTGGAACCCCAAATTATAATCCAGCCAAAAAAACTGCCTGGCCCCAGATTCTCCATCTGTGCAAGTGCAGAAAGTACCGTATTTTTTCGGAGTATAAGACGCACCGGTGTATAGGATGCACCAAGATTTCGAAGAGGTAAGTAAGGAAAAAAAAGTTTTTGCCTTCCCTCAGCTCCCAGCAGGACTCTGCGGGCTTCAGCAGGGCTGGGGCAAGGTAAAAATGTCCCTCTTTTTGCAAAAAACAGGGCGTTTTTCACAAAAATGGGATGCGGGGGCAGGTCTTCGGGGGGGCCCAAAAATGGCTGATTCGGTGTATAAGGCGCACTGACATTTCCACGTTCTTTTAGGGGGGAAGGTGCGTCTTATACTCTGAAAAATATGGTATATCCCATCTGTAGTTTAGTTTGCATCTTGCACTTGGAAGTTCAAAATAACAGAACAGGGAGGGACTTGGGAGGTTTTCTAGTCCAACCACCTGTTCATGCAGGAAACTCTATTCTTAAATGATGGCTAACTTTTTCTGTCCCTGCGTGTCGGAAATGGATCCTACCTGGAACGCGCAAGCCTTGCTGGCCTTAGTGCACTTTCGGGAGCACAGAAACCTGGAAGATCAGTGTTCCAGAGTGCATGCATGTGCCGGCAATTGAAATTCCAATTTCTGGCATAGGTACGACGAACAGCTGTGATGCACATGCGTTCTGGAACACTATTCTCCCAAGTGTTGGTGTTCCCGTGTGTGCGAAGACCAGCTGGCTGGCGCATGTGCACGCATGCAAATGTGGCACAGGAGCCAACAAGGCTGTGTGTCCGGGGCAAAATGGCTCTGCATGCCACTTCTGGCACGCATGCCACAGGTTCGCCACCATGGGTCTCTAGAGATTCTCAGTCCTCCAGGTCACAGTTGTCCCAAAGGTGCTTTTTTCAAGAGGCAAACTGGACTTCTTGTTTTCCTTTGAAGACTTTTCGCTTCTCATCCAAGAAGCTTCTTCAGCTCTGACTGGATGGTGGGGAATGGAAGCTGGCCATTTGCATGGGTTCGAGTACAATGCAGCGAGCCATGTGCATTGGGGAAACAAAACAACCACTTCATAAACGCATGGCATAACATAAAAGAACAAATCCATCAGGACAAGATTCAGCAGTCCATCTGCAGTTAAGAGACAAAAGTCACTCTTTTGAAGACAGCAAAGTCCACATTTTGGACAGAAAGGACTGCTGGTTTGAAAGCGGGGTCAAAGAGGCCATTTATGTCAAAATTAACACGCCTCTTTCAACAGAGAGGGAGGGATAGGACATCATCTATCTCCAACACAGTCCTTTCAACAGTTCCAAGAAGGCTCTATACCCATTTGCACTACTCCAGTGACCCTGATGACACACATAAACTCCAGGTGGTCTCAGTGACCCTCTAAAAGGATGCAGATGACCAGCCGTCTGCGAGGAGTATAAATCCTTCCATTCCCCACCATCCAGTCAGAGTTGAAGAAGCTTCTTGGAACAAGAAGCAAAACGTCTTCAAGGAAAAAAACAGAAAGTCCAGATGCCTCTTGAAAAAGCACCTTTGGGAAACACTCTACCATTCTGGACAAATGGATATCCAATATCTTCTTAAAAACCTCCAGCATTGGAGCACTCACAACTTCTGGATTTCTTCTAAGAGAGCCCTGGCAGAAATCCAGGACTTTAATAACCCCATAATTTACCTTCTGCTCGACACCCCTTGCAAAAGATGGGAGTATTTCCTCCTTCTGCCCCCTGGAGATCTCTTGATGTGGTTTTCTGCTTTGCAGATCCTCTGCCTCCTCCTCCTCCTCCTCTTCATCCATCGCCACCACGTCTCCAGCCTGCTCCTCTGGCTTCTGTCCGGCATCGGCATTGCGCAGCTCCATAAGTGGCATGGACAACTACGCCTCAGCGATGGAGTCGGCTCATATGCAGAAGGAGGTCTCCTCCTCCAGGACCCAGGACATCAAAAGTGAACGGTCTCAGCCTGAGACCAACCACCTGTTCACCTCAAAGTTGTCCGCGGGGCCAGGAGGTCTAGAACAGACAACTTCACCCGTAAAAGCTACCGAGCCCAAGACTTTGTCCTCTTCTGGGCCGGGGGCAAGCCACCCGTTTAGCAGAGGACAGGGGAAAATCCAGCCTTCACATCACAGCCCCCTGGACTCATCACTGCACGCCGCTTCAGCCCCCGAGCAGCCGAGTAGAGAAAAGAGTAAACCCTTTTCAGTGCAGGAACAGGAGCTGCGAGTACTCGGTAAGACTACCATGACAGCGGCCAACTTCATTGATGTCATAATCACGCGCCAAATTTCTTGCAATAAGGGGAGGCCCGAAAGAAGTTCATTAAATAACAGCACCAATGGCGATGGTAAGACATTGGAGGGTGAATCGGGGGCGGCTCTCCGCGTCTGGGGGGGGGCTTCCAGCCCGCACCCGGAGATGTTACCAAAGATCCTTCCCTTTCTGCAATCATTTATTTTTTCTTTTTTCTTTTTTTAAAGTGTTTTAATTTTCACATTTGTGGTGACGGCCCCTTTATGTTTTCAGCGTTGTCTGCCTGAAAGCCCCTGTTTTGCACTCTTCCTGTGCTCATGCTTCTTCCTTCCCCACCCCCACCCCCCATTTTTAAGCCTTTTTTTTTCCCCTCGGTTCCCATGCGTTTGATTTCCTCTTGGAGCATGTTGTTGTCTGCAGCAAGGCAGGCTAGACTTGGAAATGGGGAGGCGGTCTCTCAAAAAAGGGACAAAGGTCTAAACCAAGGCTGTAAAACTCCCGGCCCATGGGCCAGATGCATTACAGGCTGGCCACGCCCACACCCGGTTAAGTGAAGGGGGGGAAGTCCCAATACATCATGTGACAACGTGAGTTTGACGCCCCTTTGAGAGGATGTCATGGATGCACCATCAAATCCCCCCCCCCCACTTATCCAGGCCTGTCCAAGGAGATGGGGGCTTTTGTTGCACGGTTGAGATGTGTCATTTTCCCTGTTTGGACACCCATCCACCTGCCTCTGTGGCCCTCTGCAGAATGTACAAAATGCAGGAATGGGGGGGGGGGGGTCAGGAATTTCAGCACTGTGCTGGCTTGCAGAACAATTTCGTGTTCTGCTTTGTCCATGAATTGTTGTCAACTTGATAAAGTCGGCCGAGACAGAGGTAGTCCTCGACTTAACAACCACAGTTGGGGATCAGAATTTCCACTGCTAACCAAGGGAAATTGCTAAATGAGTAGTTGCTCAGCCAGGAAGGTCACACATAGTGATCAGGTATACATGACGGATGGCAAACACCGAATTTTGATCACGTGATCGCAGGGATGCTGCAATGGTCGTAAGTGTGAAAAATGGTTGTAAGTCCCTTTTTCCGGTGCCGTTGTAACTTTGAAACGGTCGCTATGCAAATGGTTGTATATCGAGGACTACCTGTACACAGATTGCAGCATGGGGAAGGTCATCTGGTGTTGAGCCAGAAGATGTTGGCGGGGAGAGAATGAGGTTTATTAAATGTTCCCTCGGTTTGTTCCCCCAATCTCCGGGTTCCCGGATTGGTTGAGACTACAACTCCCAAAATTGCAAGCCAGGCGCTGGGGAAGGCTGTTCTAGAACTAGAACCATGAGCTCGAATGGAAGTAACCCTTGGAGGTATCTCCAAACTACTGTTGAAGCTTTTGTGCTGGACAACTGAAGATGGGTGACTGTACCATTTCATACCACAATATACTCCAAAAGAGCCCAGGGGAAGCCACTGTGTGCTTCTCAACAACGTGGCCCCTCATCCAGGGCCTATGGGTCAGTTCAGCCTGGACCGAGGTTGAAGGACCTCTTGAGTCATCTTCTCTACATAGGGATCCAAGCAATGAGGTCTCAAAATGCCAGGTGTCAAAAGGGATCTTTGAGGCAGAGGTGAAATGCTACCGGTTTTTGCTGATTCGCCCAAACCGTTAGTAAAAAATGCTACCGGTTCACCCAAACTAGTAGTAAAAATATGCTACCAGTTCGGTCGAACCGGTACTTTCGGTGATCAGCTGTGTGACAAATCAGCTGTGCTGTGCAATTACAGCTGATCGTCACATAGCTGATCACCGGAGCTACCAGTTCACCCGACGATCAGCTGTGCAACAATCAGCTATACCACATGATATATATTCGCTAGAAAGCAGGAAATCCTGCTTTCTAGTGAATATAAATCACACTGCACAGCTGTTCCCCCCCCCTCGCTGTTCTATTTACCTTAAGGCTTCTTAATCCTCCTTTTTCAGTGCTGTGCAGTAGCATCTGCGGTTGCGCATGCACATGAAGCGAACCAGTAGCAAAACGAACTGGTAGTAGACTTCAGAGCATTTCACTCCTGTTTTGAGGGTATCTCTCATCCTTTCGGTTCTCCTACCAGTTGTCACACAGCTGAGAAGGAGAGGCGTCCCACCAACCTTTAAGGCTCTGTTTTGTGCTCCTCAGTTTTCCGTGGGAACTACAGTCCTGATGGCGTTGAAACCATAAGCCCCGTGAACTCCCCCTCTGTCCTCCACGAGAAAGGGATGAAGCTGACTCAAGATAAGGAGAAAGGTCAGGGCCTCCTCCACCCATAAACAGGGACCCTCTCCCCATTTTGGTTATGGCCCGTTTCATCCCGCCCGTTGACTTTTCTCACGTAGGTTCCCTCAAACCTTCCGCGACGGAGATCTCACACATGCAACAGCTCCACCAGATCAGTGAAGGCCATCAGTCCCCAAGTCAGCCGTTACAGGGACCCCCGAATGCCAAAGGAAATCAGCGTGTCGTCACCTTGGCTCAGCACATCAATGTAAGTGGGGTCATAAAATGCAAAGTCTGGTCGTAAGTCATCTTTTTCGATGTGACTTTGGTTGTTAAATGAATGTGTGCAAGACAAAGACGGCCACAAGTTGTCTCAAAGAGATAGTGAACTCTCTTGAGAAATGACCGCAGATAAAAACCAAAGGATGTCCCTTTATTACAGGAAGTCATCACTCAAGACTACACACGCCATCATCCCCAGCAACTCAATCCCCATATCCAGCCTCCCGTCTACTCCTACTCGGGGGCTGCGGGTCCTGTGTTGGATCTCCGACGAGCGCCTACCGAATCTTACCTCCAGCACCAACCAATGGAACATGTTTCATCTTCTAGAATTTCCCCTGAAAATGAACCAGACCAAAGGTAAGGCCTTCTTCTCTCTTTCTGGTCATGAAAGCGGTCACCGAAGGTGGAAGATGGGCTATAGGAATAGAAAGGGGTGCCCAAATCATGTGTTCTGACCTAAGCTTCCCAAGAGCACGAAGCTGACTCCTCGTCCCAATAAAACCTCTTTTATTTAGGTTAAAAGGAATTCCTCTCCAGCAAAGTCCCAGCCAACAGTCTTTCAAGAGATTTCACAACCACAGACCTTTATCAGGCTTGGAGAGCTGCCAGGCCGATATCTTCCGAATGCCATGCTGTAGCAGACAATACTTGGCAAGAAGTCAGGAACAGATCTTCACCCTAATGAATTGAACGAATTGTCTCCTGCAAACTCCACTCCCCTTTCGCTCCTCTTTATTCCCTATGGGAGGGGCCATTCACCATACACCTGTGGCGTTATTCCCAAGTGGACCCTTGTTCCTTAGCTGGTCCCTTCTCCTGGAAGCTCTGTGCATGTGCACATCGGGAACAGTCTCCAGCTGTTCTTCTGCCCCACTGATCTCCGACTCTGAAGGCAGCTGATAA